CGCGCTGCACCCCCCGCTCATGACAGCAGCAGGGTTTTTGAGGGGGATGCAGAAAGCGCCCCACCGCGGGTTGGTGCCATGGTGGCAGCGGGGACCAGCTGCTGCGCGGGGCGGACTCGAGAGGCCTGCTCTGCTCGGAAGAGGGGCCCCCGATAAGGATTTATGAAATGGCGAATGGCTAGAGACGTATTATCGACTCTCCCGAGACGAGAACTAGGGGTCGGAGTAGGCGGCGAGGTAGTTTTTTGTCGCGTGGCATCTGTCATCCGGGCGTGGAGCGCGTTGCCACCAGATGTGGTGGCAGCTGACGGCTCAGCCGGGTTCACGGAGGAGCAGACGCAGCCTTGGAGGAAAGGGGCTTCGGTGGCTGCTGAGCCCGGGAACGAGGGGCCCGGCCTCTGAACAGACCTTCCCTGGACCTCGGATGCTGGAAGCTGCGATAGTTCAGACGGTGGCTGCCACGGCAAGGGGCTGTACATGTGTACACTGTGACGTGGCTTAAGCCGATTTAGTTAAGTCGCCTTATTTTAAGTTGCTTTAGTACCTGCGCACACCCTAGGTGAGCGAGAGAGGAGCAGTGGGGAAAAGCCCTGGTCAGACCCAGCTCCTGTTCAGCATCTACGGTCTTGCCACAGCATGACAGGAGACTGGGCAAGGTGGTCCTGACCTCACAGTAACCTAGACAGTTTCAGAGGCGGGATGTTTTTCCTCCTTTATCTTAAGGTCGCTTTTTCCACCCCTGTCCCACTGTGTGTTGCAAGTAGGTGCATTTCACATGCAGCATTTTAAGCCACAACGTACAGCCATAATTGTACTTTTCATATGGCTCGTCTTTCCTACCATAACCTAGATAGGAGTCTCGTGCGCTGAAAGAGATTTCGTGCATGACCCTGCAAGCACTGCGTGTGTCGATCTTGTTGTTCCACTCCTCTGCTTAGCCGAGTCTTGGAAATCTGTCATCCCACTAATGCTTAAGGGAGTTTTCTTCCCTTCTTCCCGATTCTTTTATGTGACTGTTGCACCTTTTCAGCAGTCAGTTAGGCCAACAGAAGCACATAGTGGAATGATTACTTCGGGTTAGCTTAATCCTGCAGGGAAGGAAAGTCAGCTAAACTGAAAATCACTCAACCCAAAATATCTGCACAGGAGCTTGCAGCAGTTCTACTAAATCCGTTTAAAATATCCCTGTTAAACCTGCATAGGTCTGTAAGGACCTAAAGCCTGAGAGAGTTTATGCAGATTAGAGAGTGCAGAAGGCAGTACTGGTGGGACACCCAAGAATCGGGTGCACTGTGGAGGATGGCACCTCTCCTTAATGGGAAGCTGCAGACAGAAAGAAAAGCAGTTTCTGAACTCTTATAGCAGAAAGGCAACAGGGAGGGTAAATAGAGCAGTGCTGTATAGCAGTGGTTCTCAACTTTTTTTTACCGGGATCCATTTGTAAGCATTGGTGGACAGTCCCAACCCAGTGCCCCTCACTCCGACCCCCTGCCCCAGGCCTCAGCCCCTACAGTGTGGGGTGTGGGGCGTGGAGGGGGCCCCAAGCAGCCCCTGGCAGGCTGGAACTCTGCCAGCCTGCCAGGGAAAATCCATGGTTTCCCACTATTTTTTCTACTTTAAAGGAGAATCCATTTTTCAAGTTTGTTTGTGACCCTTTCATATATTCTTACAACCCACTTTTGGGTCATGACCTGCAGGTTGAGAAATGCTGTTGTACAACATCACAGTGTAAAAGGATGACAAATGAGTCTAGCTAATTCTTATATAGGGAAATGTCCCCACTGAATTGATGGCTACAGGCTTGAGTTGAGGTCGGGGGTCTCTTCTACCTCTCAGCAAAGCCCCCCGTCATGGTCACTACAAAAGAGTATAATTCATTATGCTGTAATAACTCTCTCTCTCTCTCTCTCTCCAGGTGAAGCAGATCGAAAAGCGAGACTCTGTTTTAACATCAAAAAACCAGATTGATAGGCTGACCCGTCCTGGATCCTCTTATTTCAACCTCAACCCTTTTGAAGTAAGTCTGAGCACTCTTCCTCTTCTCTGACTTTCTCCTACTCAAGGAGCTTCCTATGTCTGTTGGCTATCTACTTGCTGTTGAAAAATTCATTCAGTGTAGGCCCTGATTGCAAGGGCAAGGATGTGTCATGTTCCTTGCAATCTCAATGGGAGGTAGGCCTCTTAGTAGATTTCACTCGTATTCTGGCACTGACAGACTTGACAGATTTGCCTCTAATTTTAACAGAATATTGCTTTTGTCACTATTTACTGCTTGTGCATTTTATTTTGGATATCTGAAATAAAAGCAAGGCTCAGTAGTCAGTTTTACCTTAGCATGAAGTTACATAATTTGCAAAGAAGTAAATGCATTCAAGTCTCCTTACATGTGATGTTTTAAATGATAGCTGTCTGATGTATACATAGGTGAGAGTCCTGTTCTGATCTAATGCACCATGTGCATGCTGTGTAACAAAGTCTCAAAAGAGAATTGTACTCGCAATGCAAACATTAGCCTGGTTTTTCTTCTTAGCCAGCCCTTCTTGGGACCTCTCTTTCACCTTCTAGTTTTCTCTGGCCTCAGCTTCTCAGCCTTTTATGTTCTGAGAAGCAAAAGAGGCCTCCTTGCACTGTTTGCCAGGGTGATCTGCAGAATAGTCCTGTGGAAAGTCCTAACACTTGATTGGAAAGTAGATCAATTGCTCAGAAAGCTGCATGAAACCTTATAAGTACATTGGGTTTGTTCTTTGGAGTTGTTGATTTTGTGCCCATCATAACAGTGTTGATGATATGAGAAGAACTGCAGACTACTTGTAATCTGGTAGAACTAGTATGCTTCCTCCATGGGTCGCAATCAGGATGGCAGGACTAGAGCAGGGAAGTAAATGTAGATCTTCCAGGTTCCGGGCTAGCATCTTTACAGCAGGGCCAGGCTTCCTCCGTTCTCATTGGAGTGAGTCAATAAGAAGTGTTTTGTTTTTTTTCTTTTTTTGTACCTATTCCCCTGTGCCATCTGCATCCTTCAGAATTGTGCTAATGCCGCATCTCCCTATTTCTTCTGTTTGGTAGGTGGGAGCATTCCTAAATTCCCCTGCATGTCAAGGGGACGCTTTCTTTGCTAGATCTCCAGTCCTCGAGCCATTGGACTAGCACAAAGGAACTAAACAGTAAAACTTTCCAGTTTGTCTTTGCTTAAAAGAGAGAGTTTAAACAGAAGCATTAAGTACAATAGTAGAGAGCAAACTAGAGATCAATGGTTAGAATAATCAATCCTAATCAAAGACCAGTATAATACTCGTGATAGAAATTAATCTGCAAGTGTTTCTCCACATTAGCAGCATTGACTGTGTTTCAACCAAGTTGAGCTCTATTGCAAGACTGTGAGATAAAGGTGCTTTTATGCTACTATTTGTATATCTAAGCGGGCTCAGCTGGAGCCTAGAATGGTCCCTAGTATAGACTAGACTAGAGCTCCTAGCTCCTTAGCATGCACCACCCCCAGCTGAGACTTCTTATACTGGAGATACTGGTCAGGATTTACTGGCTTTGTTTCTACCTATATGCCAGTGAAAGAGACATTATAAGCTAGGCTGCAGGGAACCTAAAAAACAGGCCTCTCATGAAACTCACTCTGTTGCTGTGGGCTCTTCTAGGTCCTGCAGATGGATCCTGAGGCCACAGAAGAAGAAATAAAGAAGAGGTTCCGGCAGGTATGTAACTCTTGTTGGCCATGCAGCTGAACTCCTCACTGAGAAGCCAGGCATGATCTCATTCCTAAGGAAGCTTATTCTCAATTGACTGAACTTTTGAGTATCTGAAAGTTGTCAATGCCCGTGTGCAGTACATTTTTGCAAATACATAATAGCTAGAGCTGATAGTCAGGGGGCAGTGTAGCAGTAGAACTAGGATAGAGAACAGGACCAGAATTTGCAGTCATTTTGAGAGAGAGACAAAATGGCTTAAAATTAACACAATGAAATTGAGTAAAGAGAAATGCAGAGTACTGTGCTTAAAAGGGAGAAATCAAGTGTATAAATACATGGGAGATAAGTGACCAGGCAGTGGTACAACAGAAAAGAATTTTGGGATTATTGTGGGCCGCAGACTGAATGAGTCAGCAACATGAAGCTGCTGAAAAATGTACAGATCGCATTCTGAGACTATTAACATAAATGTTCTATGTAAGACCTGGGAGAGTTATTCCACTTTACTAGATGCTGGTGAGGCTTCAACTGGAACAGCGTCTAATTTATGGCACCACACTTCCAGGAACATGTAGACAAGTCAGAGGAAAACGACAAGTAAAGAGTTGGGGGTGGGAAGCATAAGTTTTCAGATACATGAAAGATTGTTATAAAGATGATAGTGATTGATTGATTTGCTATCCCATGCAAGGATTCATGCATCTGATGAAGTAAGCTGTTGCTTACAAAAGCTTATACATCTCTGAATTAGTTGGTCTATAATGGGGGTGGGCAACTATTTGGGCTGGAGGGCCATTTAGGGAGTTTTGGTGAGATGTTGCAGGGCAGGTCAGAATCCCTTCCTCACCCCCGGCCTGCAGCAGCTCACCAAAGCTCCTTAGGTTGCATATTACTAGACCTGGGAGTGGATTGAACTCTGTCTCAGGCCCCAGCCCTGTGCTGTCACCACTTCACAGAGATTGGCTCAGCCTGGGATTCCTGTGGGCAGGGCACACACAGCTGGGTGGATGGGATGGGGCTGTGGGCGGGCAGGGAACAGTGTCTGGGAGCAGCATAGGTGGGCAGGGCTGGGACTGGGATCTTGGAGCGGTGACAATCCGGTGGTGGGTCAGAGCTGTGATCTACCTCCCACTAGCTCCTGCCTGCAGACCTGGCATCCATTGCAGTGATGTACAAGCAGCGAATCGTGGCTCTACCCCAGGCCCTGTTCCTGCCCATCTGTTCTGCTCCCAGACGCCACTCCCCACCCACCTGTGGGCCCATTCCATTCACCCAACTGAGTTTGCCTTACTCGCGGGGGTCCTGGCCTGTCTCCATGGAGACCCTGCCTGCCCACTCTGTCCAGTGCCCCCAGTGGTGGGTGTGGGGCAGATGGGCCAGGGTGCCCAGACAATAAGGCTGGGCTTGGTGGCAGCAACACTAGTGACAGCAACCATAAGGAGCTGCTGCTGCTGGGGCTGCCAGAAAGTGGAGTCCAGCTGCTGTACCACCGCAGCCCTGCTGCATACCTGGGGATGGTGGGACCCACTGCTTGTGCCATGGCTCAGGCTGCCCCCATGCCTGCAGCAGGCAGGGCTAAGGAACCTGCCATGAGGCAGATAAAATCCTTTTGCAGCCTGCAAGCACCCCTGGTCTATAAAGTGCAACTCTGCTCTGCCTTCTGCCTGATTTCAGACTAACATGGCTAGTACTCTGTATACACAGTCAATATAAAATTGATTTTGGTCTAATGGTACTTTGTTTTTTGTAGTTATCTATATTGGTACATCCTGACAAAAATCAAGATGATTCTGAAAGAGCCCAGAAAGCCTTTGAAGGTAAGGTTGCTGTCAGCTTTGTATGGAAAACTGTATGTGGCCATACTGTACTCGTGTTTTAGTACAGTACTAAAGCGCTTAGCTGGCTTTTCTGTTGCATAAAGTCAGAAGACTGTTCTCTTCCTTGGATGGTGAGGAACCCCAGAAGGTAGAAGCGGGGTTAAATGCAGATCTTAGAAGGGAGGGAGACATAACTCTGCTTGATGATTGCTGCTCAAAGAGAAGGCAGATATCCTCTAGGTGGTAGTAATAGCTTTGCTACAATCTAAGAAAGGGTCAGTTTGTTCATAGGTCAGGCCTAGGGGACCATCTTTAATTTATTACACTATATGAACTGTAGGTTGGGCAGAAAATATCAGTGTTGAGTGGCTTTTGCCCTGTTCTCTACACGGAAGTTAGTAGGAGACATGCAGCTTAAAACTGCTTTACACTGTGAAATCCAATCACTTGTTGGGAATTACAAATTTATTAATCCCTGAAGGAGGTCTGTGGATGATCTCTGTCATAAGAATCTACCAGCATTTCAGCTGACTTCAGGTTATAACTGATCTATGTGATCTGTAAAGGAAAATAAATTGACATGTTCCCCTATATTAATATCTCTGGTTTATGCACCTGATGGCATGAGAAGGGAATTGGACTGGATTTTGCTAGCAAAGAATCTTTATGGATATGTAGTGTCTTATGAATGTGTTTGCAGATTTGCTTAACATCAGTCTGTTTTGCTAGCCGTGGACAAAGCATACAAGTTACTACTGGATGGAGAGCAAAAGAAGAGGGCCTTGGATGTGATACAGGCAGGAAAAGAATATGTGGAACATACTGTAAGTACTCCATGCCTGTAAAGCCAGCAGTGAGGAAAGAG